GACTAATCTCTTCTCTTCTTCAACACTTCCGCGTTTAATTTGCGACGGCCGCACGGCATTCGTAATTGTACAAGTCCGTGAATCCAACCAGAACATCCATATCTTCGTCAATATTGAGGAAATTTATTGTCAGCTGCTAGCCTCTCCTTGAAAGAGTTGCAATCTCATTAACTCGGGCCAATAAACCTAACCTTTACGAAGCACAGTATTTGAATTATTCCATACCGACTACGTTGCTCTTATCGGGATGTGACACTTTTCTGTGAGGGGTTTGTCGATGTGAGCTCGACATTTTGTGCCTTAAAATCTAGATAAAAGGACGCGCAAAATTTGAGTTCTTGGAATGAAGCATCTGCAAGTTTTAATTTGCTGCCCATCAGCTAAGAGATTGCTCTGTTCTTATCCTGCTTTGCTAAGATCTATCTGCTAAGATCTATCGCCTCTTGCGCTATCTAAGTCTTCGCCTCTCGCAGTTTACCGGCCCGCGTGGCTCAGAAGTTATGCTTCGTATTTAATTTGATGTACAGATTTCAAAACAGATGGGTAGACGCAGACAGCTTTGATGCGAAACATACACTCTCCATGAAGATGGCAGCCGCAATTGCTCTCGGATGAAGTCATGTCGACATGTCAACTACCCAACTTCTCATTTGGGCGAAGGCCGGCCACATGGCTAAAAAATCGCTTGCACAAACCATTAAAGCTCCAATGTTATCCCAAATCCATGACGATCTCAAATTCTCGACGTAAAAAAGATCCCAATCCTGCCTTCAAATAGCGAGACAACAAATATAGGCGGTCACGCATCGCATTAAAGGTCAGACGTGCTGCGACAGACACCTTGCCAAAGCGTTTAAATAGATGCTTCACACAAGCAGTCTCAGAGTTGGTGAACATCACATGGTAATCAGTTTATCGCTCAGTCCTTTTGCAATTAATCGTGATACTCATTCGGGACCAACACACGACATAAACTTAATTATCATATCAGCTACCTCGACAACAGGAAATCGAACCGCTTGAGTTCCATCCTAGGGTTTTTATTCGCCGAGAGGGCTCTACACGTAATAGTTCTCCATTTGAGATCGGCAAGAATCAACTTGATACAAGATTAAAGGAGCGACGCATGCATCGTCGCAAAAGCCGCG